GAAGCTACTAGGGGCTCCTGGCATCGCTACTAGGAACAAGAAGCTACAAGGAACTACAAGAAACTACCGTTTTCATTGTTTTGCGACCGGACTGACCGGACTCCACCGGGTGGAACGCTGGAACGCCCAGGGCCCACCAGAAGGGGCGCCGGAAGGAGAGGACTGGAAGGAGTTCCTTGGGCACTGTTGGATTGGGGAGTGAAATTCTGACTGACTTTCTGGGAGGTTTGCGAAGATGCTTGCTAAAGTTTAGCAACCGTTGCATTGTTCAGCAAGCAAACCAGAAGATGACAGCAGACTTGCCAACAAACGTACCCGTATCAAACCGAATGGCCCAATGGTGTTCAATATGTTGTTCACATTTTGCTCAACATCAAAACAGGAAGCCGGTTTCGTACGAGTTCGTTCGTGCTCATTGGGCAGTTGGTGATCAAAATAAAGCTGTTGTGAGTGTGAGTGCAATGACCTATCAGACCGATACATAACTTTCCACCGTTTGTTGCATCTTCCTCAATGGTGTTTCCGGGGAACCTCGCTGTGCCGGATGCCTTGTCGTGTCAGATTTTAGCGCTATGAGATGAGCCTCAGCTGTGTGGGGAGGAGTCCCCCGGAGTGCGTTTTTGCAGGATCCTTCAAGCAAGCTAGTCGTAGAAACAATTCCTGGAGGACTTTGGGTGTTGTTATTGACTTTTGAGGTTACCTGCAAAGGGGGGTCTTGACATTTTACGATATGAATCAAAGCTATCGAATCATCGTTGATTCTGCGGCGTCGGGCAGTTGGACTTGTCTCTTTCGGACAGTCGGTGCTTGGGGGAGCTTTCGGAGATGCGCCAAGGACCGGCGCCGACGGCTTCACGGTTTCAGAAGGTGCGGATCATGTGGCTGCCAAGCGGACCTGAGACCTCTGAAAAGAGCGTGGGTGCCAAGGGCGCAGCTTTTTGGAGATCTCTGGCCAATCACCAGATCAGCTGTTTGTGCCATGTTGTGCCCATTTGTGCCCTAAAAGCACAGTGCTGCGCCAAGAAAAGCATTGGTCTTGGGATTGCTGGGTCTTGAGACACCTCCTACAGCAAGTGTAGAGATTCTACTGGTCTTCCTGCAGAGCGGCCATGAATATGTTCGCCGGCAACTGCGTCCTCTGACACGCGAAGTGAAGCCGAGGCACAGTTTGGGCGCTCGAAGAAGACAATGGGTGAATGGGAGGACGCACCTGCCGTGATCACATCAATTTCTTGCTGGGACCGGTGATATCTAGAAAAATGTGTCCAGCCTTTGCATTTTCTGGCACTTTGACCTGTTCATTCTGGACAAGCTACCGCTAGTAGGAACAAAGGGCATTTCTACTAGGAGCAAGGATGCTACGAACGGGGCTCCTGGCCTTACTACTAGGAACAAGAAGCTACTAGGAACAAGACATCACACGTTGGGGCTGGAAGAGATCGCTTGGAGACGAGTGGTTGGACTTTGGAACCCGCAGTTCCTTGTTGTATTCATCGAGGTGTTGTTTGGGCTTGGGGCGAACGGGCATTCCGACCGTACGTACGGAAAACCCATTTTTTGAGGTACAGTATCCTTGTTTGTCCATAAAAACAGTTGTGTTTTGTTTAGTGGAAACTTGACAACTTGAAGAGGTTGGAAGTTGGAAGACCCTGAAGATCCGTTGACATGTCAGCCAGCACAGCCAGATGCGCGTGTCAGTCCCAAATTTGTGGGCTTTGCATGTTCAAATGATCTAAAGTGATCCCTTTTGACTGTAGCTTTCAATTTCACCTGGAAGACGTCCCCCGACAGCCCAAGGTCTGAACAAGAGTTGGCTGCCTTCTTGCAGAAGGCCTGCAACTGCACATCGTGAGCTCCAAGTTTGGTCAAAGCGTGTTTGGAGATTGTGGTGAATGTTTTGAATGGGTGCTTGAGGGTTTTTGGATGTTTTTTGAAGCTGTCCATGAAGGAAGAAGAGTTCCTCGCTGTGGGATGATGTGGGGCGGGGTGTAGAAAAGGCCTCCACCAGGCCTCCACACATGGCCAGAAAGAACCTTCAGGTCCTACTCACATAGTCACTCACATAGTCTTAATTTTTGAGCTAATGAATGTAGCTCCCTTTGAGCAATCATCATTTAATCATAGTCATCAACAGAATACTCAGATCCATGGCAATCACAGTTGAAGGCTACGGCTACTGTTGAAGACTACGGATTCCTGTGCAATATCCAACCTGCTTGGCCAGGCCAGATCAAAGAAAGTAAGTCTCAGAGTACCATGCAAACCTTCTTCGTTCCGAGCCATTTTCTGAGATTCACCAGTTCAAAGGAGACTCTGTGAGTCCGTAAAACAAAGAACTCAAGGCATGCGCCTAGTGAGGTGAACCTTCCTCGATGTGTACAGATGCAGTCTCAGTCGCATGATGTCGCGTGTGAGTTCATTTGCATCATCTAGCTCCGCGTCCCTTGAAGGCTGCTGGTGCTTGGGCGCGGATGCCGAGACCGCTGCCCTGGTTGGGGCATCCCAGACCCCCGGCAAACCTTCAAGTGCACAGGGCCTGGAAGTATCTGAGGAGTAGCAGGAGCATGAAACTTGTGAACTGGCTACTAGTAGCAAAGGGCATCGCTACTGCTCCTGGCCGTACTACTAGGAGCAAGGGACGCTACTAGGGGCGCTCCTGGCCGACTACTGGGAGCGCGGGCCATACTAGGGACGCTCCTGGCCGTACTACTAGTAGCAAGGACGCACTTGCCGTGCCCAGACAGGTTCCATAGTCCATAGCCTGTAGTTGCTGTGAATATGACCTGGATGCGGGTGTCGCAAGGCGCGCAAATTCAGCACCTTGTCTTAGATCTACCCACCAGCCCTGTACCAGAGCTTCTCTTCATGTCTTCCAACTAGTCAGGTTGGAGGCCATCGCTAGTAGGGTTGGAGGCCATTGCTATTACGTTGGAGATGAGGCCCAAAGGACTCCGCACGCTGGTGAATACAACCACCACTGGACAGGCATAGGCTGAAAGCAGAAGCGGAAAGAAACGAAAGCAGCCAGGGAAACGGCTGAATCTCTCAACCGCTGAATGGACTACAAACCGAGCAGGACCAGTGTCCGCCTCAATCAATCAGTTGTAGTGCCAACGGTCTCACTCCGTTTGAACCCTATAGAGCTCACAACCGAGACCGGGCAAATCCAGTGCCAACAGCTGCCAAAATGGTGCAAACCAGACCAAGGCGGCCACAAATACCATTGCTCTTCGTGAGATGTGTCTACGCACATTGATGTTTTCACATAGAACTGCAAATTGCAAACACACGCAAGAGGATGGGATTGTGCTATGCGCTTTGCGCATCAATGGCTTCAATGACTTGTGAATGACGTACCACATACCAGTCGAACCAGATCAACTTGTGCGATGCCTAGCAGGAGCCCCTAGTAGGGGCTCCTGGCCATACTACTAGGAGCAAGGACGCTACTAGGGGCTCCTGGCCTTGCTACTAGGAGCAAGGACGCTACTAGGGGCTGCTGGCCTTGCTACTAGGAGCAAGGACCCTACTAGGGGCTCCTGGCCATACTACTAGGAGCAAGGACGCTACTAGGGGCTCCTGGCCTTACTACTCTACTAGGAGCAAGGACGCTACTGGGGGCTCCTGGCCTTACTGCTAGGAGCAAGGACGCTACTAGGGGCTCCTGGCCTGACTGCTAGGAGCAAGGATGCTACTAGGGGCTCCTGGCCTGAAAGCTAGGTGCAAGGACGCTACTGGGGGCTCCTGGCCATACTACTAGGAGCAAGGTCGCTAATAGGGGCTCCTGTTCAGGAAAAGGTATTCGATGCGTGCCATGCAAGCTGGCTGGTGAGATGCTCTCGATCTTCCTGGAAGTCTTGTTACACGCCACGGCGTTTGTAGTCATGCTGGTTTCCGAAGCGACGGTTGTTTTCTCTTACCAAGGTCGTCCGGCCTCTGAACGCTCTGAATGCAGAAAGCAAAGTCACCATGACTCAAAATACAAACGGGCGAAGCCGCTTTGTGTCCACTCAACCCGCCTAAATCACCGCAGTTGTTTGCGCAGATGCATTTTATTTTCGGACGAAATCCTCAGATAGACCGACCTCCATCGCTAAAGGCGAGGTGGGCCAGCAGTCTGAAGAATAAATCGTCTCAAGCGCCTCTTGGGCTTGAATCATTGGGATCGTAACGGCATCGCTACGAACGGAGCAAGGACGCTACGAACAGGGTTCCTGGCCTTACTATTAGGAACAAGAAGCTACTAGGAACAAGGGCGTCGCTGCCAGTAGCAAGTGCATAGCTACTAGTAACATCTAGTAACTAAGGGCACTATGAATGAGAAGTTGTTGGAGTGAATGTTGGAGTTCAAGCAGATCGAACTGCGGCATGCCCGGCAGATGGAACTTGTCGCCATGTGTCGTCGTTCCCCGCAGCCTTTTGGCACCGTGTAAATGATACACCACAAGACGGAATGCACGAACTCCATGCTAGAGTGCATCAAAGACACAATCCACAGTTCAGCGCAATTGGGGCCCAATTGGCCGGTATGGTTCTCTTGGTCTTCGCCATGCACACCATGTGCGCCATGCGCTTGCTTTGCTTCGTCATTGCCGTATCCGCCTTGGAGGACGACCAGTGCCCAATCGGAAGATTGAATTTGTTGCATTCAAGAAAGATTGGCCATATGGATCCATATGGTGCGTATTACCAGGGTGAAGGACAGGGTACTGTTCAAATCTTGGTCAACTGATTCATGTCGCACATTGGACTTTCAGATGCAAAACTCATTGAGTTCACATGTGTTGCCACTGAGAGTCGAGCCGCTGAGCTTTGAACAAGGTGCCAGTTACAGATTCGGAGCAAAGGCGGCACGTCATTGATGCCAGCTCCGCAGAGAAGCAACGAAGCTCCTCCCGAGACCAACGCAACGAAGCTGGACATGATGCAGAAGCTTTGGACCACTCCAGGTGGAATGATGTGATGTCATGGTTTGGTTGGGGAAGCAATACGGTAACGCCGAAAAACAGTGAAAAACATTGAAAAACAACACGGACTTCTTCAATGGAGTTGTTACGTGTCATGCATTGTTGATCTTTGCTTGGCAGGACATTTTCCTCAGTGTTCCTCGTCCATTCCACGCCAGAAAGAGAAGCTCATACAAACTGAGGGTCTTCAGCGCTTGCCACCCTTACCCGATTCTCAGAGTTGCTTAAGAATGCTTACGTGCAGTTATATTGAACTCAAAGTTTAGGTCTTTGAGATCGAATTGTGTCCATTTGGACCTTTCCACTGGTGAGTCTTAGTGGACTGGGAAATGACGGTTCATTGTTGGAGTTCCTACGTTGCCTGTTTTTTTTCAGTCCGACTTCACCAACATCATTGGGCTTTGTCTAAAAACCAGTTGTTGGTGGCCAGGACAAGATCACATGTCAACCGGGAGAAGTTCCCATCGGAGATTTTCAGGAGGGCAAGTACACCTTCTCATGTTGCGCGGCTGGAAGCCAATGTGGTGGTTGCCGCAGCAGCAAGAACGGTGTGTGCCTGGAGTGTGCGGCTGGATATGTTTACCAAGCGATCCTAGCCTGAAACAATGTTCGTCCTGGTTTGTCCTTTGTTGATGTCAGTCTGCATCTTTTGTTTGCTCACTTTGCCAATAAATTCCTGTTTGCAGGCCAATCGCGATTAGGTTGGAGGCCATCGCTTCTAGGTTGGAGGCCATCGCTGGTATGTTGAAGGCCATTGCTATTAGGTTGGATGCC